TCTCTCTCTCTCTCTCTCTCTCTCTCTCTCTCTCTCTCTCTCTCTCTGTGTGTGTGTGTGTGTGTGTTTTGAGACCAGGTTTCTTTGTGTAGCCTTGGACTCACTTTGTAAACCAGGCTGGCCTCGAGCTCAGAGATCCACCCGCCTCTGCCTCCTGAGTGCTGGGACTGCAGGTGTGTGCCACCACACCCGGCTGTGCTCTTCTTAGAAATTAATTTATTCACTTTACATCCTAGTTGTAGCCCCCTACCTCCTCTCTTCCCAGTCCCACCCTCTTTCTCTACCCCCTCCCCTATTCTTCAAAAAAGGGGATCCCCCCCCAGCTTATTAAGTCACATGAGGACTTTCATCCTCTTCCCATGTGGCCTGGTAAAGCGGTCAAATCAGTGAGGAGTGATAAAAAAAACAGGCAACAGGCTCCATGTCAGAGATGGCCCTGATTCCCTTACTAGTAGACTCACATGAAACCTGAGCTGCCCATCTACTACAGGAATGTAGAGGACCCAGGTCCAGTCCATGCATGGTTCTTGGCTGGTGCTTAAACTTCACAGGCCCCTCTGGGCCCTGCTTAGCTGGCTCTGTTGGTCTTGTGGAGCTCTTGTCACCTCTTGGCCCTTTCATCCTTCCCCCACTTTTCCACTAGACTCCCTATGCTTTGCCCAGTGTTTGGCTGTGAATCTCAGCATCTGTTTGCTGGGTGGAGCCTCTCAGAGGACAACTCTAATAGGCTCCTGTCTGCAAGCAGAGCAGAGTATCATTAATAATGTCAGGGGCTGGCCCTCTTCCATTAGGAGGATCTTGGGTTAGGCCAGGCATTGGTTGGACATTTCCTCAATCTCTGTATCTGTTCTCTTTGTCCCTGCAGGTCTTGTCAGCAGGGTAAGTTTTGGATCGAAGGTTTTGTGGGTGGGTTGGTGTTCTCCCTCCACTAGAAGTCTTGTCTGATTAGAAGGTTTCCTCCTCATTCTCCATGGCCCCTCCTACTAGGAGTCTCAGCTAGAGTCCCCCTTATGTCCTCCCAGACCTGACTTCGGTCTCCAGCTGGTCACAGACATGTCCCCACCCACAGTTTCTCTTTCTCTTCAGGCCTCTGCCCTCCCACCCCTGCTCTTTCCAGGTCTGATCTCCACCCTTGTTTCTCTCTGCGCTCCCTCCTTTAAGCACCCTGCTTTGGCTCCTCGTTACTTATCTTATTGAGGTCTGTGCACTGGAATATGTCTATCCTGTACTTTATAGCTAGTATCCTATAAATGAGTACATACTGTATGTGTCTTTCTGGATCTGCATCACTCAGGATGATCTTTTCTACTTCTATCCACACCTGAAAATTTCATGATGTCATTGTTTTTAATGGATGAGTGGTATTCCATTTTGTAAATCTACTACAGTTTCTTTTTTTTTCCCCTAAAGATCTATTTATTTATTTATTTATTTATTTGTTTATTTATTTATTTATTTATTATGCGATGTTCTGTCTGCATGTACACCTGCATGCCATAAGAGGGCACCAGATCTCATTATAGATGGTTGTGAGCCTCCATGTGGTTTCTGGGAATTGAACTCAGGACCTCTGGAAGAGCAGCCAGTGCTCTTAACCTCTGAGCCATCTCTCCAGCCCCATACTACAGTTTCTTTATCCATTCTTCGGTTGAGGGATATCTAGGTTGTTTCCAGTTTCTGGATATTACGAATAAAGCTGCTTTGAACATGGTTGAGCAAATGTCCTTGTATGATGGCACATATTTTGGGTGTATGCCCAGGAGTGGTATAGCTGGGTCTTCAGATAGAGCTATTCCTGGTTTTCTGAGAAAGCGACAGATTGATTTCCAAAGTGGCTGTACAAGTGGGTTTGCACTCCCACCAGCAGTGAAGGAGGGTTCCCCTTTCTCCACATCCTCACCAGCATGTCACTCAAGTTTTTGATCTTAGCCATTCTGATGGGTGTAAGATAGAATCTCAGAGTTGTTTTGATTTGTGTTTTCCTGATGACTAAGGACGTTGAACATTTCTTTAAGTGCTTCTTGGCCACTAGAGATTCCTCTGTTGAGAATTTTCAGTTTAGTTCTGTGCCCCATCCTTTAATTTGATTATTTGGTTTGTTGGTGCTTAATTTCTTGAGTTCTTTGTATATTTTGGATATTAGCCCTCTGTCCAATGTAGGGTTAGTGAAGATCTTTTTCCAGACTAAAGGCTGCTGTTTTGTTCTATCAACCATGACTTTTGCCTTGCAGAAGCTTTTCAGTTTCATGAAAGCTTTTCAGTTTCATGAGGTCCCATTTATTAATTGTTGATCTTAGTGCCTGAGCTGTTGGTATTCTGTTCAGGAAGTTGTCTTCTATGCCAATGTGCTCAAGGCTATTTCTCATTTTCTATTCTAACAGATTTAGTCTATCTGTTTTTATGTTCTTTGATCCACTTTGGCTTGAGTTTTGTGCAGGGTGATAGATATGGATTTATTTGCACTCTTTTATATGCAGACATCCAGTTAGACAAACACCATTTTTGAAGGTGTTTTCTTTTTTCCTCATTGTATAGTTTTGGCTTCTTTGTTAAAAATCAAGTGTCCATATGTGTGTGGATTTATTTTTGGGTCCTCAGTTCGATTCCGTTGATCTACCTGTCTGTTTTTATGTCAATACCGTGTTTTGTTTTGTTTTGTTTTGTTTTTAATTACTATTGCTCTGTAGAACAGCTTGAAATCAGGGATGGTGATACCTCCAGAAGTTTAAGAGAGACATTTTTTAGTAACACAAAGTACAAATTTGCTTTATAACAAGATAATTAATTTAATTAGTAGTTTTTATAATACTTAATCATACAGTTAGCTTTTGTGTTATTATTGCTTTATCATAGGACTGTTAAATATTTAATTATATTTTTGGTAGCCTGAAGGTTAGATCAAAGGGAAGATAATTGTCATTGCTCATCTGTAAAGAGATGAGTAGAATCTGAACTGCTTTCTTATGCTTCTTCCAGCAGATGGTGCCCTTACAACCTCTATTCTCTTTTTATAGCTACATAGTTTCTCTACCATGTACTCAAAGGATTCCTTCGAGGCCTTGGAGCCAAAGAGGCATCTCGACCTTAGCTATAATCCTTCTCTCAGTCTGCAAAAAGGACTCTGCACACATCCATAATGAGTGGCTTCATTTTACTAGAAATCTGGAGAATTCCAATCTAGATGAAAAATGTACACAAGTAACTATTATTGAGTTCTTCTTTTGCTTTAGGTTCCTTTCTGACTCTGATAGTCTGCTATTTCTCAGCACAGGGAGGCAGAGTTTACACAGTTTCCATCCATTTGCTTATTTCTTCCTTTGATTATATGCTTTTAAGTGCTGCTCCAAGGCCCTGTAGAGCCCAGAAGAGGCTGGAAAAGGAAGAAATGCCATCTCTCTTTGTTCGGTGATGTTTTTCTCTAACAACGTGTATGTACTTCTTTTTTTTTTTTCTTTTTTTTCTTTTTTCTTTTCTTTTTTCGTGTATGTACTTCTATAATCATTTTCTCATTAGGAAAGACTGCCTTTTCACCAATTTTCACAATATAAAAAAAAAAATTATTGGGCTGGAGAGATGGCTCAGAAGTTAAGAGCTCTGCTCTTCCAGAGGTCCTGAGTTCAATTCCCAGCAACCACATGGTGTCTCACAACCATCTATAATGAGATCTAGTGCCCTCTTCTGGCGTGCAGGTATACATGCAGACAGAACATTGTATACATAATAAATCTTAAAAAAAAAAAATTCTTACTGTTTTGTTTTGGCAAATATATTGTCCCCACTAATAAATCAAGAATTAGTGAAAATTCTGTGCAGTGCACCGCTGTAGAGAGCACAATCAAGAATGAAGAGAAAGAGGCAGCCACGGTGTCACGTGCCCGGAATTCTCCCACACTTTTAGGATTCAGGAAGATCGCAAGTTTCAGGAGCTTGTTACCCACGCAGAGATTTTTTTTTTTTCTCTTAAAATGAAACGCTTAGTCGTGATGAGGGAAATGACTCGTCTGTCTCCAGAGGGATGAGTGTGGACGATGTGAGGGCTCTGTCTACCTTGAAGGCACATGCAAAAACAAGGACGGATTCGTTCCTCTTTTAGGTTCACTTCTC